CAGATTGTCATTAATTTTTCGCAACTTTCCTCTAGACTTGAGCGCGAGGGTTTACAACATAACTTTCTTCCAGAAGTCGTCTCCGCCGGCTCGATTGCTGGCTTCCTAAAAGGTTCTTTTCATGGCATACTTGACGGAGTTCCGGTTTTTGCTGCTTTGGGTGATTTTCAGGCAACGGTTTACCAGCATATGTGCCCACATACAGCAGGTAAGTTTAAAGTAAATTCAAAATAATTAAAATCTATTAATGTATTAAGAATTTCTCCTTTTTTTATATGAATGTAACTGCATCAGATTTGAAACTCCCAGAACTAAAGTGCGGAAACAAAACATAAAAGAAACTATACCAAACATAAAAATGTTGGATATATTATAAAAATTGTAAAGAGCGAGCAGACCTTTGCCGGTTAACTGATGGAAGAGATTATGTTTGTGTTTGGGCCCTATATTCAGTCAGCCGCCGCATTATTAATTTATCGTCTATTGAATAGTTACATAGGTAAAATATTTTCCTTCAATCGATTCTGTAATTTCTCTTTTTTTCTCCCATTCTTTCTGCCTTTATTACTTTTTACCTTCATTCCATTCTTTCTTTTCTTTCTTTCATTCCCTCTTCTTTCATTTTTTCATTTTTTCCCTCAATCTGTCTTTCTTTTCGTTCTTTCGTTTTCTTCTTCCTTTCGTTTTCTGTCTTTCTTTTTTCCCTCTCTTTCTTTCTATCCTTCCTTCATTTCTTCCTGTACTTCCTTCCATCCATCCATCGATATCCATATACTCCTTTTATGCCATCTCTTCATGTCGTTTTTTCTTTCTTTCATTCCACTTCCAAGTTACTTTTTCGTCCTTTTCCTTTGTTTCATTCCTTCATACTTTCTGTCTGTCTTTCTTCCCTGGTTCCTTTTTTCTCCCTCCCTGCGTTATCCATACATTTTTTGTTTCTTTCCTGTTCGCCTTTTGTTGAATTTTTCGTTCTTAATTTCTACTCTTCTTCGACTCATTATTTCCTTCTCTACTTCTCTTCTCTTCTTATTTACTTTCTTTTCTTCTTCATTCTTCCTTCATTGCTTCCTTTCTTCTCTACCCTTTCGTCCTTTGACTCCCTACTCATTTTCTTATATCCTTCATTCAGTTTCCCATTCTTGCCGCATTTTCAGCCTTCTTTCTGTTCACCTACCTCTGCATCTTCCTTCATGCGTTCTTTATACGGGGATAGCGACTGCGTTCTAGGCTGGCTGACTCTGTCGCTGTCTACAACATTTATTGTCTATGAAGTTATGTAGTCAGGAGTTTCAGGGGAGTCACCTTTAAGGTTCGCTCTAGGGATATAAACTTGATATATGATTTTGCACTTTGTTTATGTCATATCTCAAGGAATATCATTACAGTGTTGAACTGCGGTACTTCTGCTCAGCTTTCGTTTCAAATTCCTGACGGGTTCGCACCAGTTTTAATTGATGAAAGCTCCTACGAAGAATCTGTTCTTCGCAGATA